CGCGCTATATCACCACGCGTTGAATTACCACGCGTTGGATTCTCCACGCGTTAGATTCTCCACTCGTTGAATTACCACGCGTTAGATTCTCCACGCGTTACATTGCCTCGCGCTATATCACCACGCGCTGAATTACCACGCGTTGGATTTTCCACGCGTTGAATTACCACGCGTTGGATTCTCCACGCGTTGAATTACTACGCGTTGGATTCTCCACGCGTTAAATTACCACGCATTAGATTCTCCACGCGTTGTATTATCACGCGTTGAATTACCACGCGTTATATCGCCTCGCGCTGTATCATCACGCGTTGAATTATCACACATTGGATTCTCCACGCGTTATATCACCACGCGCCGAATTACCACTCATTAGATTTTCCACGCATTATACTCCCTCGCGCTATATTATCTCACGCTATATCACCACGTATTAGGTTTCCCACGCGCTGAATTACAATTCAACTGTATTGCCACACGTTATGTTACCTCACGCTAAATTGTCACGCGTTACATTCTCTACGCATTAAGTCACCACTCACTAAATCGCCACGCGTTATATTGCCACGCTCTAATTAATGTTGAATTACAATATTTTAAATCACCACATATAAAATCTCTACTTATTGACTCTCTATTATTATTAAATCATCATACGTTATATCTCCTCGCGTTATATAGTCGAATTTTATATTTAAATTATTTAGTTTGCAAATGTAGCTATTTGTAATTTTGAAGACTTTTAAATGAGAGAATTTGAATTATTGGAATTTTAAAAAGTTTGAAAGTTTGTATGTTCTGTGGTTGATAAATGGAAATAGTATAATATGCTTGATATTCCTTAAGAAAGGAGTGTCAGTTTCCTCTGCAACGGTTTGAAGAAGACGGTACTTCCGGTGCTCTGTCAGCGGTTCAAGGAAATGCAGAGTAAAGCACGTTTCTCTCCAGAATGAAGTTTTTCGAGTCTAAATTGGATTGGACGCGACAGCTTGCTCCGTTCTAATAAATTTTTGGAAATTTCGTGGATGTCGTTCCGAAAGTTTTCGTGGAAAGTATGCCAAGGAATATTATCATCAAAAAGAAACCATTCAACTTTCTTTTATTATATGTACATACATCTTGGAAGAATAAGAAGGAGATTCAAATTGAATTAGGCAAATTTCAGTTCATTCAGAATAAAAGTTTTAAAACTACTCTTAGCTTCAATTTAATGATTGCTTATAGAGAGTTATTAATTAATTCAAATATTTAATTTTATGCAGGAAACTATTTCTCGGTTGTAGCAAATTTTTTTTAATACAATATAATTTTAAGAAAAAAATTCATAATCGTTCCTTAGTTTTCAAATTTTAACCATCGATACTTTAAATTATAAGTCATAACAATTATACCATTTAAACATTTTCTTTTATAAAAATACTAGTGTTATTATTCGCAGAAGTTTCTTTTCCTCCAGCATTCCCAAAAAACCCATAAAAACCCGTAATTTTACACCGATTCAGTCAACATTCTATCTGGAAACCATAAGAAGGAACGGCTTCAAGGATCGCTATCGATTGCAAGTCTCTTTCATATTTTATCCTTTACCATCCGCCTCGGTGCTTCTTGATTCACTTTTTTCATGCATCCCTCGGCGATATCCTCTTCCGTTCTCTCAAGACAGAGAGATTTGTCAAATTTTGCCAGAGCCGTAAAAACAACTTCGCTGCTGAGACGAGTTGGTCCCTGATGCATCCTTGAAAGAATATACTGAGTGTCTCAGCAAAACTAACCTAAGTTAGAGCTAATATTTCAACTGACTTCGTTACAAATTTTTAAACCAACATATATTACAGTTACTTGAATGTTATTTAAAGAAGAGTAAATTACAAGTATAATAATATTTATTGCATTTATCGAATACTTATACCTCGGTTTAACCAG